GCCTTCAACTACAGATAAAATGTATTATTGGTCATTTTGTTATAAAATGTATTGTTGGTAATTCTATAAATAGGTATTGCTGGCATTTTTACTATAAAAATGCATTTTTATACTTTCATAGTGTTTTCTTTTTGTTTGAGTGTTACTATTTGCCCATAACTGGGACCCTAGCAGGTACTACCACCCAGGCCAGGGTGTACCTGGTTACAACAAAAATTAAGTGGGGGTACCACACTCCTCAAAACCTGCAATCTTCCTATCAGGGGCATTGGTGCTGGATGTCATTTACTCTCATACCAATGATTTCGAACGATAGTGTAGAGAGGAGAATACGAGAAATATTAAATAGAAATGTATTTCTCCACTCATTTTCTGGTTTGATATTTTTTCTGATATGAAGGGAAAAAAACAGAATATGAATAAATATTAATGAAGCTGAAATAATGTGGGAACGTCTGTAAAAGACATTCCCGAACCTTTTTTCTAAAGAATACATGTATTGTTCGACTATAAGCCAACTGAACCCAAAGTGACTACCCAGTATTAATTTAATTAATTTCCATATTTATATACACTTTTTGGCTGAAGGAAAAACTAATTGTGTTTATTTTTCATTATTTTTCTTCGGTTGCATTGGAATGTAATGCTTACAATATAATATGGAACAAATGCATTGTTTGCTAATACAAAGACACTATGTCCTCTCATAAAACTTTCTTTATAATTAATTAGAATTCTAATTAAGTTATGCGATTGCGTGTCCCGAGGACTCAAGGGAAATAAATAGACGGGGGAATGGATGCAAAATATCTTCTCAAAATTTACCCTTTCCAACTTTGCATCGTATTTCTTTCGTGAGATGTAAATCAAACTAGTTACATTCCACATCGAGAACGAACTACTTAGATCCTATCATCACCGATCTAGCCCTGAAGTATTATCAATCACGATGAATAGACGTTCCCTTAGAGAAGCCTCGTGCCTTGAGTGCCTATTGGAACTTAAACTCAGACCTCAAGTACATACGATTCCTCGCTAAAGATGCTGGGACGCTTAAACTATACCGCTCCAATAAGCACCTGACACTTCCTGTATCCTCTACATTTACAAGAGTCAAGATCAGACCGAAAATGAAGTACTGTTGTCATATTTGGGCGGGGCTGCCCAGTCTTCACTTTCCAGGCTTGACAGAGTCCAAAAGCGTCTCCGCGTCGTTGTGGGTGACAAATAGGTTTCCACCATTCAAGCCCTTCCTCATAGGCAAAACTTCTCAAACATATCACTACTCCATCACTGTTTCCAAACAGACGAACCACATTCCTTGTTTCATCAATTCTAACCTTCACGGCTTAGACCCGCACATTGTAGTGAACCCCCATAAATTCACTTCGTATCCCTTTGATGAGAGGTAAGTTCCACTTAAGCAGCTTCTTCCCGCGAACCACTGCTTTGTAGAACCGACTCCCAAGTGGTTGCTTCCCCGATCACTAAAATCTTAAACTGTTCAAATCTAGGGTTGACCATTATCTTCTACACATATTCACTTAAGCTGTACCTCATTCTATAACTCTCGGGCTTTATTCAGGGTCAACACCACTGTCAAAAAAGGTTCCTCTTGAGTAGCTTTTTCCCCTAACTACTGCTTTGTGGATTCTACTCCCAAGAGGTTACTTCTCCTATAATTACAATCTTACCGTGTTCAAGTCTCCAGTTAACCGTTATCTCATCATACCTATCCACATAAGCAGTGCCTCACTCTATATCCCCCTGCCTCAAGTGGTTCTCAGGCCTTGTACAGAGTGGACATCAGTGTACAAAAAGATTATTGTTTTATGGACAAAATAAAAACGAAGGCATCAGTTCGATACCAATGAGTAATCAAAAAAGAACTGAGAACGCAATAAATTAGCAATTCAATGACTACCAATTTTGCCCATGTTTTGTTAGTAGCAACCCCGTTATTTTAATGCATTTTCTCAAATTTAGAATTATTTTATCAAGTTATTTTATCAATGCCTGAGGTGCTGGTCCGCCTCTCCATGGGACGATGTTTAATGAAGTTGTCTAGCAAGCCGTTACGAATGTCGTATAGTCAGTTTCTTCTTAGCTAAGTACTTTCTCCTTCTGGCGTTGGGCCAAAAGAAATCTATGATCCGAAAATAATAATATTCTTGTTTATCTGCTGTCTGGAGTACTTGACTGTTTCTCCGTGAGGTACTAATTAATAATTTAGTCTAGACAGCTACTACTAATGTGTAGTATGTACCATCTTCACTGGGTGCCCAATATATGTGGCAATGAAGCATAGGCTTGGTTTCTGGTTAAAAGCCCATGTAAGAAAATAATCAAAATAAAAAACAAGTAAAACTCGACCCATGGATTTAATTCTTAACTGGCAGTGAGTCAGATATGTTTTTTTTTTCTATACTGCGCTTAAATTCATAAAATCTAAATAGCAAAGATTAAAGCTTCATTAGTAGATACGTTCACCTATCTCCTGGTTCACACTCCCCCATCTCCGGTCTATTGAACAACTTTAGAGGGTCATCCCTTGTTTCTTATTTTGGATTCGTTTTTCGGTTCCTTCTAAAGACTACTTCAACTCCATACTCCCAACATTTGTTCTTGCCTTACTCCCAATATAACTCCAGATAATAACCCTCTTTCTTGAGTGGCTCTTGGGCCTTGTATTGGGTAAAAAAAAACAATGACCATGAAAATATTTATAGAAAAGGTTCGGAGAAGATACGTTACGGCTGTGGGAAAATGACTAAAACCGAGATGCCAAGTCAGGACCAATGATATTGCAGATTCTTCTTTGCATTTTATCAAGAATCTCTGAATACATAACAGAAGCACCAGACCAGATGTGAAAGCAATATTCGATGTATGAACGAATTGTAGATTTATAAATGTGTTATGATAGATTCTGTGTGTGGGGAGGGGGATTGTCTAGGAACCAACTTTCATTGCGTCAGACCTAAAATATTTAAGCAAGTCTTGATGAAAACATATCTAGTTCACTGTTAGTGGTGAGTTCAATCCTTGGGTGGGATGGCACAGAAAAAGTCCTAACCTCTGGTTCAGTGAAAGAAACGGACAAGCGACTTAAAAGTGAAAAATACTTGTGAGTGTTAATTGATATGCGTTAAAAAGCTAAATGCGAACAATCTATATCTGGGGATTAAATAAAGTTTTCAGATCAAATTTCCGAGAAGTTTACCGACAGATGCCTGAAAAAGACCAGAATGTACAGCGGTCGAAACGTTGTAAGTATACTAGTCCAAATGGAAAAACATGTCATAATTTCCAGTCCAATTTGCAACATTGTGGGGTCTGCGTTCGCGCTAATGATCTAATTTATTATGCTATATATGAATATTTGTGTGTGTATGTTGGAACTTAGAATAATCAATCATAAAAAATACGAATAAACAAGCACAGAATAAAACGAGAACACTTTAAAATCCATTTAAGCTCCAATTCTAGTCGGGTTCATTATCTTCACTTGCGTGCAAATACACTTGAATCAACCTCCTCTTCTCCAGCTATGGGATAAATAGTAAGACTTGCATCAGAAAGAATAACATGAAAAGTCGTAAAAAACAAATCAATAAAGTAGCCATTGCTTTGTCAATTTTGAAAAGCGTCAGACATCAGGAATTGAACCTATAAACGGTTACGGAGGAATGACAGCATGGCGGAGCTAGAACTTTAGTTTTTATTCATTTCTACCGCAAGGCTTAAAGTTCGTAAAATATTCACAAATTTCCGAGCAAGAACACAATTATGAGGCACCCAGTGAGGATCACATTTGCTACTAATCATCAACCTGATAAGCACATCAAATAGTCTCCAAATAGCTTGTAGTTAAGTGCATAATAAACAAAATTTGCTTTCTTTTACTGAACTTAAAACGTATATTCTACATTATTCAAATGTTTAGACATTGAAAGTAACGTTGAACTCATGAAACGTAAAATAGCCTCGGGCTAAACAAGCAACGACTCATTTGCTTTTTTTTTTTAATAACTGTCTGAGGTGCTGGTCCGCCTTTCCATGGGACGATGTTTAATGAAGTTGTCTAGCAAGCCGTTATGAATTTAATGTAGTCAATTTCATCTTAGCTACTCAATCCTTCTGGCGTTGGGCCAAAAGAAACCTATGATCCGAAAATAATATTATTCTTGTTTATCTGCTGTCTGGAGTACTTGACTGTTTCTCCGTGAGATAATAATTAAAAATTTAGTCTAGACAGCCACTACTAATGCGTACTATCTACCGTCTTTACTAGGTGCCCCATATATGTGGTACTGAGCCATAGTTTTGTTTTTGTTTCTACTTTACTACACATTAATAACTGTAGGGTTATTTAAAGCCAGATATGGGATTTGAATCATGGATTTGAATGTTCATATGTATTAGTGATAGTTTTGGGTACAGGTTAGTTGGTGAAAATTATTTTTTTAAACATTTATTCCAGATGCTGGTTTCTACTAAAGTTCTTCTGTAGTCAATTTCTGGTTGGTTATTAGAATATTTTTAGTGGGGATCTTTATGAACTCTGAAGCGTTCTTTCTCTTTCAGTTTTTGAAATACAGTAGAATCCTTGAGGCTTTTCGGATATGAGGAATTGGTTACAAAGTCCGGATATGAGGGGTTATATTTAGATTAAAATAAAAGAACTGAAATCAGGTTTAACATTTATTTTCAATGTTTTATAGTAAACAAAAATAAGCTAATGGTGAATGAAATATAATGGAATTGATTTTAAGGAAAAAGAAATAAAACATGTAATGTTAATGAAAATTCATTAAATTAAGTATGCCACATATGCAAAACAAATAATGTAACGAGTTTTTTTTTAAATCTCTGTTGCATGATGATTCTTTCTCTTCTAATGTCGTTCTCAACTTTTTCCGCATTTCGTTTTGCTTTTGTTCTTGAATTTTCTTAAAGAAAAAAACACTTTTTAACTTTATTGCAATCGTCATAACTGAATGCTGATACTTATTCTTTTTTTTTCTTCTGTCTCTTCCTCCTCTTCTTCACCTACCTCGTCGTCCTCCTCCTTTTTCTTCTTCCGCCTCCTCATCATTCTTATTCTTCATCCTTTTCCTCTTCCTTCTTCATCCTCCTCCTCCTCCTCCTTCTTCTTCTTCTTCTCCCTCCTCGTTATTCTTCTTTTTTTTTCCGCCTATTCCTCCTCATTCTTCTTCGTCCTCCCCCTTCTTCTTCTTCTTTTTCTTCTTCCGCATTCTCCTCATTCTTATTCTTCATCCTCCTACTCTTCCTTCTTCTTCATCCTCCTCCTCCTTTTTCTCCCTCCTCATTCTTCTTTTTCTTCTTCCGCCTCTTCCTCCTCATTCTTCTTCATCCACCTCGTCCTCCTCCTCCTCCTTTTTTTTCTTCGACCTCCTCCTCATTCTTATTTTCATCCTCCCCCTCTTCTTTCTTCTTCATCCTTACTCCTCCTTCTTCTTCTCCCTCCTCTCATTATTCTTTTTCTTCTTCTACCTCTTTCCTTCTCCCTACGTTAGGAGGCCATTTGTGTGTATAGGTGAGGGAAATAACGATAACCTTGAACAAGTTAAGATTGTAGTGATCGGGGAAACATCGTGTTGGGAATCGATTCCACAGGTAAGTGGTTCACAGGAAGAAGCTGCTCGAATGGAACTCACTTCTCACTGATAGAATAAGGAAGAAAGGAATGTGGGTGATTTGCTAATGTTTAAATGGAATGACGTGTTCTTTCCGTGATGGTTTGTCTTGGTGGGACCAGGGAATATAGTCCGTCCGAGCACTTTCCATGGAAATAATGGTAGAGCAGCGTGAGGCACATCATGCCTGTTGGAGAAGGATTGAAGGGTGGAGAATAATTCGTCACCCACAAGTGCTCGGAAATGCTTTTGAACTCTATCAAGGCTGGAGAATGAGGTCTTGGCAACACCCGCCCAAATATGACAACAGTACTCCATTTCTGGCCAGATAGAGGATAGCATGAAGAGCCAGGTACTTACTGGAGCAGTAAAGAGTACCGACCCTTTTACCTGCATCCTTAGCAATAGATTGTATGTACGAGTTCCCCTTCAGCGATTTTAGCGATTTGAAAAATCATTCCAATCAATTTAAATTCGGTTTCAAATACATCAAAGTATGTTGCTTATTGAAAATATTAAATTTAATGTATCAACTTGGAATTAAAACTAAAATAAAAGTTTCAAAAAAGATTTTTTGTTTTTAAAATACATTTTGAACTTTAGGTGTCGCTTTCTTGGTTGCATGACCTATAGTCATATTGTTCTGTATTATAGAATAGATTATACTATATTATATATGTTTTTTTTTTTTTTCTTTATGTGTGTGCGTGTGTGTTTTCCTTTTTCTGCTGTCTCGATTCCATTTCATTTGGTGAGGTATATGAAACTATGCATCTGGGGAGGGCAAGCAAAATTATAATTAATTTCCGCCCTAGAGGATTTTAGTGACTCAGAATGACCTGACCCAAATCCGTCAGTCCTGGTGAGACTAGAAGCGTGAAAGAACTCTCAGAATTGTCGGGAATTAATGAAAGTTCTACTAACGAATATCACTTTGTATCATGGATTTTACAAGTATAATAATATGTAGCAACCAAAAGCATCTTTTTTGAAATTAAATTCAAGACCTTTGTTCTAACTAGAGCATAGTTCCCCAACCTTTTTTGCGTAATTGCACACTTTCACATGGGAAGATTTTCCACCTGTATAAATATTCAAAATTTTTTTTGTTTTTTTGTTTTTTTGGTGTAGGTTTGTTACTGGTTCATAAACTGGCTTTATAATGTAGTAAAAATGGGAGGAAACAAATAACATAAATTATGCGGAGGATGCTGCTGCTACTACCGTATTCAAAAAGAAATGAAAGTAAATGATATGAAGTTGAAAGAACATATTAAATCTATTGCTAGGTCAGCTGTAAGTTGGTTCACTGTATCGTACGAGACAATTTTTTCACTCCAGAATCTATCTTACATATCTATAAGTCTACCATTCGTTCATGATTAGAATTTTGCTGCCACATAAGGCCAAGTACCCCTGCTAATTACCATGAGATCCTTGATAAAAACCAAAGAAGAATCAGCAATATTATTGGTCCTGATCTGGCGGTTCGGCTTCAGTCACTTTCTCACCGCTGTAAGGTTGCCCCTCTCTGTTTTTCCATAAATAATTTCATGGTAATTGTTCGAATGAGCTCTTGTTGCCTAGACTTGATGAATTTAAGCGCAGTACTAGACTGGCGTCGAGATCTCAGTTGAGATGCAACCGTAAATTCTATGCTAACAGTTTTTTCTCTCGTTCTTCTCGCTGTGGACCTCCCTTCCATTTCCACACTTCCCAATTAACTCTTCCTTCTTCCCGCTCATTATCATTTTCTGTTCCTAATTCTTCTATTGTCTATTTCATCTATAAAATGGTGCAAATTGGTAATGAAACCCAAGCATACATGCAATATCTCTTTACATTTCATAACACAGCTTATACATATACGATGAAGGTAGTTTTATATAAGTAACATATACGATGAAGGTAGTTTTATATAAAATTCAGTAACTTTTGTGTTCATACAGTTATGGTTAATGACACGAGTCATGTAATGCTCACACGGATTTTTAAGTGGTGAAAATTAAGATTTCTCTTACAAATAATATTTAGTACTTTCTGTACGTGTGCAAAAAACATGATCTCTACTTACAAAATACAGGAAAATTTGACATTTTGAATAATATCTTTACTGGGCATGAAACAGCTGGTAAGTAATCAACGAACGAAGGTGTTGCTGTGACGATCGCTTACAAAAAACAGGTGCCAACGTAGGCTACGTAGCTGGGGAATCCCCACCCAGGGTAGATGAGGTCATTTTTAACAGCTACACACCCCCTAGGAACATTTCCAGTATTTCCTGAAATTTTCCATTTGTGACAAATCATGTCAGCACCTGAAAAACCTTCGGATTTTGGAGACTTAAAATTTCAGGTAAAGGACACTCAACTTTTATATATAATTTAGTATTATGGTCAAGGTTAGTTTTATGGTTAGGTTTAATGATGACAAATATTTGAACGATTTTTCTTCATGATTATAAAATTAAAAACAATATACACGAATAGCAACTAACAAAAATCCAGTGAATATTTTTGTCTGTTCTTTCTTCCTTATCTGATTTATATCCCAAAAATGTTATTTCGTCTGAAGAACTATTTGATCGTTAATGTCAGTTCTCAAAATTAGAAAAAAATACCAAAATATTCGTTGTTTGCGGGGATATTTATGACCCGTTTATTCCCAATTAACCTCTTGTTTGTTTTTATATACATGTTATTTGCATATATCCTTTGAATATTTTTTCGAATAGCTGATGTTGAAATACTTTTTAATACTCAAAATCCTATATCGTCCACTAAAATTTCTAATCGCCCACCATTTTCTGTTCAGTTGCTTGTTGCCCGATCAACAGTTAAAATCGCCCACTGGTGGCTGATAGCTGCCAGGTTGGGAAAACCTTTGAGTGCAATGTGTAAAATTGATAATGAAATTTAAAACAGTTTATGGTTTAATTAAAGTTGTGGTGTGGTAATGATTTGGGTGTGGCATTGATTTGGGGTGTTGTATTGAGTTGGTGTGGAAGCACTAAAATTATTGAATGATTATTTCAGCGCAATTAAATCGTTAAAATTTGGAAACAAGTAGTGCGTATCATTCCTGCAAAGCATCTCTTGAAAAATAACAAGAGATAAGGCAAATATTAGGGAGGTTTTGAATCATGCTTAAAAAGATGATTCATGAATGTTTTGACCCATACCTGAAAAGTGGCTGGAAGGTTGAGTCATAACTCAAAAGAAAATTAGAAAGATTTTTTCATGCCTCAAAAGTGGTTTAAGGGGGTTTTGACTCATGCCAAAAAGAGTAGGGGTGCTAAACCATGTCTAAAAAGAATGAGAGATTTTGGCCGATGTCTAAAAATTTTGATGAAAGTGTTGACCTTTCTCTTAAAAGTCGTTTAAGAATGATTTTATTTATTCTTCAAGAGGTCTTTAAGGAGGTTTTGACTTATAATCAAAAAGTGTAGAGAGATTTTGATCCATACCTAAAAAGAGATTTAGGAAATGTCTGATGAAAAAGCATTTCGATTACACAATAATTTTTTAAATAAATCTGTATTTGCTTTCTGAGATGAGACATACTTAAAAAGACGATTAGAGGGGTTTTACCTCTGCCTAAAAAGAGATTTATGAAGGTTGACCATGTCTAAAAAGAATAAAGTGATCTTTGTCGATTCCTAAAAATATTGACGGAGGTTTTGACCGCTTCCTTAAAAGACGTTTAGGGATATTTTTATCCATGCTTCAAGAGAGCTTTAAGGAGGTTTTGACTTATGTCCAAAAAAGTGTAGAAAGATTTTGATCCATGCCTAAAACGAGATTTAGGGAGGTATTGATCCCCAAAAGATCCTCACAGTTGTTGATTCCATCAGAAGTGTTGTCCTCGCAGTTGGCGATTCCGCAGAGATCCTATTGAATTATGTTTATTTTTGGCAGATTCGGTTTCGAACACGGTTCGATGCATTAGACATGGAAATTAAAAACAATTCCAGCCAATGGGAATTTATTTGCATTGTGTCACGCGATTTTTGTCCTTGGGCAGCAACTGTTATTTCCCATTTGCTTACGCCTAGAAAGTATGAAAAATGGCGACTATTTCCTTCGAATTTTGCTTTTGAGACCAAGATAATATTTCTGAAATTAACCTATTCCCATTGGGGAAAATGGCGAATTGTGAACATTCTCGTTTACGGAAGGTCATACTACTCAAAAGTAGCATTTATTTATTCTAGGATAACGAAAGAGCGACCAAAAAAAAAAAAATTAGTTTTTCGCAATTTACACTTATACTGTAAATTAGTTTCACAAATCGACCCCCAAATATAGTCTCCCGAAATGTTTTCGTTATAAAATCCTTGGTAGCGTTTTTCGTTATAAAATCCTTGGTAGCGTTGTTCAAAATCCAGTGGATTCTGGTGAAAGCGTTCGCCCCATGTTCTCCTGGAATTTATCAAGATGAGTGTACGTCTATGGACATTGAGGATATAATTTTCAGCCTTGTGATTTTCCAGGAAGCCTCGAACCACTGCGACAATAAAAGCTGTTCTATGCTGCTTTATTCACTTTCATCTCACAAATTCCACTCTTTGAGTCTCGGCATCGGAAACCAAGATCTTTGACCAGGTCGTTGAGATCTTTTTGGTTGGGGTAGTATGGGTCTCTCTCCTAGGGTGTGTCTCTGTTATCTGGGTCAATCACTTCATCCTCTTCTGAATTGCTCTTCTCTCCTGAAGACGACTGCTCTCTGTATTTCTCTTTGGAAGAGTGGGTACGGGGAGCAAAGGTCAATCGGATACTGGGATGATGGATGACAAAAGCTCTAATACCAGACGCATTCTTGCCAGCTCGACGCTTGGAACGGTACCCATACAGAACAACTGCATCTGTGGTCAGTTTTTT